GCTCGACGGCGGTGGTGGGGGCAGCCGGGGGAGCGGCGGGGGGCGCGGACGGGGCCGGGGCCGGGTTGACGGGGACGGGGCAGATGGTCACGACGGCGGGGACGGTGACGGTCTTGTAGGCGGTGCCGCCGTTGCCGGGGCAGTTGGTGACCTCGGGGGCGCAGGAGATGACGGTGTGGACGGCGGTCTGCGTGATGGTGGAGGTGGTCCACTTCCACTGCGGGGTGGTGGTGGGCTCGGGCTGCTCCGGCTCGTCGGGGGTGTCGGTGGGCTGGGGCGGCGTCTCGGTCTTCTGGGGCTTGTCGTGGTCCTTGGTCTTGTCGCCGCCCTTGTCGCCGCCGCACTTGCCGTCCTTGTCGCACTTATCGCCGCCCTTGTCACCACAGTTGTTGCCGTCCTTGTCACACTTGCCGTGGCCAGGCTTGCCCCACTTGGGCTTTCCCGGATGGACCCAGTGCCAGCCGTGCTCCTTGTCGGAGTCGCAGTCGTCGATGTAGACGTCCGGGTGGGGAGGGTGCCAGACGGAGATGCAGTCGGCCGGGGGCGCCGAGATGGGGCCGAAGGTCTTGACGCTGAAGTCCGCGCTGCCGGTCAGGCCCAGGGGCTCGATGCCGGGAGGGTAGCTGAATTTGCCGTCCCAGGTGGCCTGGGCGACGGCGGCAAAGCTGAGAGCTGCGATGGTAGAGTAACGCATTTTGATGTGTGTGGGTGTGTGGGTGTTTGTGTGTAGGGGTATGTATGAGAGTAAACCTCGAAAGAGAGTGACGAGGGGTGTTCTATGAAGGAGTGATAGAAGGAGAGTGGGAAAGGGTTGGTATTGCAGATTATTAGTGAGTGTAAGGGTATCAGAGATACTGAAGAGAGAAGGTAGGAAAAGAGGGCAGAACAAACAGGGTGAAGAGTCGTCCTTTTGAATCTTTTCCTCCTCCCCGCCGTACATACGCTGAAAGGGGAATAATGACGATGTAAGCCGGGAGAAGGCCGCCCCTTCCTCGAATAGACTCGTGGGGCCCAGGCTGAGTCGCGCCCATGATGGACTAGTTCGATTTCATCATGTCATTTTCTTCCGCCATAGAGAGTGCTGCTAAGGCGAAGAGGGGCTGCGGGCATGGGGCTTCACAGAAAGAAAGATACTACCCAACCCGCAGGCCTCCATCGCTATCCCAAGATCGACGCGATTGGACCAAACGGTTCGTGGGTGCTAGTCGATCATCCAGGGGTGAGAGAGGGGACGTGATCACAAGGAACGTCCTGGATAGAGTGTGGCCTGGCTGAAATTGCGTTGGACTCAATTTGGGACGACAGGTACGGATACGGGTGAGGAGGTGGTCGAGCACGACGTTGGGCTAAACGCCATTTGGGTGTGCCGGGGAAGGGCCGGTCTATTTGCGCCAGGGCTATTTCTCCATTCTCTCCTCGGAAGGAGAAAAAAAAAGAAGGCCACTAGTAGGCGAAAGCTGGGGGATGGGCGCAGCCATTGTTGTTGCGCATGGTGGTGATGCAGGGACGGTGCTGGGCCCTCTGTCGGCAGATTGGACGTGATCCCTGCGCGGGAAAAGGCACGGAGTAGTCGACACTAACAAGAGAAGCCCAGTAGCCAACCAACAGCTTCCGGATTCGCCCAGGTGCGGGTGGGCGATGTCACGTCGTCCGACAAACCAGGAGGTACCAGGAGGCGCGCTAAAGTGGCGCCGGTTGGTTCCTTGCAGCAAGGTGGTGAGCTTAAAGAGACTTCGACTAAGAATGGGACCTGGCCACCCCTCCCTTACTACGGTATGTGAGGCAGCACAGCCCATCATCCGAACTTTCGAAACACCACAGGCCCCTCTCCCATGATTTTGGCCAATTTCCAAGGTCAAAGCAGCCCCAGGCACGTTCTGGGAAACTTCCTGTCACCCCTTTTTTCTTTCTTTTCGCGAACTCCGAGGTTTTGTGATGGAGGGTTGGATGATGTCAAAGGTGGTGGCCTCACGGCCCCGATGGGATATCGCTAGTTCTCATAGGGCCCATAGGAGGGCGATGACCTCTTGCTTAGCATCAGCGCTTAAAGGACAGCAAATTTCGCCGGGCGATCTTTCGATAGTATTTTGTTGACGTGGGAAAGGTTCATGCGAATCCTCATTTATGCAGCAGGACAGGCAAGAAGCAAGTCAGAAGCAAAGTTCGAATGTTCATTTTGTTTCTTCAGATTAGGGGCATTGCTGCTTTCGTTCCTCTGCATCTCGAAACTATTTGGTTTCCTGTCAGCGAAGCTGACATGCGGCATGACTACATTTCGTCCAAACATTCCCTTGGCTTGCAGGATTCACCCGAAGAAGCCAAACCTAGCAGGCCTCTTTCAAAAATAGGAAATGCAGAGAACAGCGAGAGAAAGCCACCCGAGCCATGGGACTCCTCGTTTCGTGGGCTGGCTTGACGCCACAACCGTTGCGTTTGCGGCTGGACTAAGAGGCCACCACTCGCCACACCTGAGACAAGAAAGTGTGGTTTCCTTGCGAAGGGACCCCCTCTCGTGAGTCCGATTTAACTCGGCTCTAGCCGTAAAGAGAGGGATTCCTCGCCTTCTGGGGAGATCAAAGAGCCGAGTCATAACACACCCGTAATATTACGGCAATTTGTTCAGCTATGGGCGGTTAGCATCATGGGTTTCCACTTTGCATAGCCATCTAAAGACAACTTACTAGAAACTGCATCGATCTTTTGTTCGTGCATCCTTGAGCGATGTGCTCCTGTAGGGCCAGCGGCGCCGTAGCTGAGATCTCGCATACAGAAAACCGCTCGGCCCGATGCCTTTCGCATAAAGGCTGGATGGGGAATAGAAGGCGATGTTGGGTGCCCGTGCTCCTGAGCAGACGCTAGCAAAGAAAACCTCACCAGTCCAGCGCCTTCTTCGTCTGCGGGACCGCAGAGCTCGGCACCCGCTCCGGGCTGGGCTGTCTCTCGTGGTCCTCTGCGTCGCCGATAGCATTGAGTTCGATGCCCCATCGCTCAATCTCGGCATCTACGGCCTTTGTCCACTTCTGAATGAGGGGATGGGCACGAGCCACGTCGGAGAAAAGAATTTCTTCATCGCCCGATGACGATGATTTCTCGACGTGGAACTTCCAGGTGCCGTCGGTATTCCAGAAGGCAGGCGTAAAGATCGAGTCAGTCTTGAGCTCAGCTTTGGCCTCGTCGAGGGCCCGTCGCGCATCCTTCGCGACGGCTTCATCTCCCTGGCCGCCATCGTCCAAGGCGTGGGCGATTCCTTCGAGCAGGCCCAGGAGCTGGCCCGCGAGAGACCCGATCTCGGCGCCCAGGCTGAAGCCCTCGTCGAAGCCTGCCTGGATGCTCGTGGCCTTGGCGGCGGTGACGCCCTCGCGATAGCCGGCGGTCGTGTGTTCAGCCTGCAGCCTTGGCATGTCTGACGGGTGCGCGCCCGCGGGTGCGTCGAGGGCCACGACGGTTGGCGAGCCTGGCGCGGAGCCCCAGACGTCGTCGAAGGGGTCCTGCTGCGCTTCCATGGCGGGGTTGAGCCGGGGGTCGGGATCCATGGCGATGGTGAAGGGCTCTATTTCGGTGTTGTCGATGGGTTGGAGATGCATTTTGGGAGACGGCCAGGCGGAAGGGCTGGGGAGATCCTGTTATGTGGTCCCCTGGTGCGAATGGCCTCAGTGGCGGAAAAATATGTGGTGGTGAGTTTGGTAGAAGTCTCGATTGAAAAATTGAAGCTTGATTTGTCAAGCATCCCCCGCACCACATTTTACGTCACTTTGCACTGTACACAGGTCGCAGGAATCACACCTTTATACTGTATGAACAACTATGTGCACTGTATGACTGATCTGTTTCTCACCTTTCACCCCGGTGAACCATCTTTCTCACATCACTGCTTATTCCCAACATCGTCAGCTTCACATTGCACCTCCGATATATCACCACTCTATTAACGTTGCTGCGCGGCGCCAAATGCGGCTCGAGATGGATCGCTTCTCTATCCGCGGCTCACCCATGTGCGATTCACATAAAGTGGCTGCAACCAACTGACTGGCGATGAAACAATCCTCACCGTAAAGTGGGAGATAACTTGGCGACCACCAAAATTAGCATCCCGCAGGAAGGCGAAGACGATGACGGGTATCGTCTGAATTCCATCTCTTCTACCCTGTGTACGCGTGTGCGATCAAGCATTTCATCCCATCTCATCGGAGCAGGTCGCACGTCACTGCCCAGATCCTTCAGCTGTGCTCAACGCATCGTCATTCAGTGGCTTTTCCGGTCACATTGGCAATCAGTCGCAGCTAGCCTCAGAGCTTATTCAATCTTGTTGTATTGGTATGTAAATGTGACATGCTAATCGCTCAAACAAAGTCTATCTTCCCGTGGTATATCCGCCCAATGTCTACGCTGTATCCAAAACAACAACCTCGGCGTCGGCCTCTCCAATGCTCTCCACATTCAACTTGTCGCCTGCATTGACCGCATCCACGAATGCGCCGTCGCCCTCCGACAAAACGGCGTCATCGCGGCCGTCGATGCGGATCTTGGCCTTGCCGCCCTTGGTCATCGGCAAATGAACAAATACCTTGCGCTTCGTCTGCTGCGTGACCTTGGCACCGACGTTCCACTCAAAAGCCTTGTTGGGCTCAATGATACCCGCGCCCATGACGAAGTCGGCGTGGATCGGGATGGTGTCCGGGATAGACGGCTCCGCCGCCTTCTCCTCCGCAAGCGTGGCCTCCGGGCCGGCCTTCAGCGGCGAGAGGATCTTCACAAAGCCCTTGCGCTTCTCCTCCTCGGCGAAGTGGCGGGTGTGGTAGGTCGGCGGCAGCCCGCGCTTCCACGGGATGGCCCAGATCTGCAGGAAGTGCACCGTGTCGCGGCCGTGCTCGTTCATCTCGGAGTGCGCGATGCCGGTGCCGCCGGTGGTGAACTGGACGTCGCCGCGGTGCATGCGGTAGAACTTGTCGCTCTGGGCGCCCTCGCTGCCCTTCTGCAGCATGGAGTCGCGGTGCGTCAGCTCGCCCGAGAGGATGTAGCTGAAGATCTCAAAGTCGCGGTGCGGGTGCGTCGGGAAGCCGCTGTTGGCCTTGACGCGGTCCTCGTTGAGCACGCGCAGGGCGCCGAAGTTGTTGAAGCGCGGGTCGTACCAGTCGGCGAAGGAGAAGCTGTGGTAGGTGTTGAGCCACCCGTGGTCAGAGTGGCCGCGGGTGCCGCTCCGGTGCGGCGTGATCTTTGCGTGGTGGAGGGTCTTGGACATTGTGTTCTTGACTGCGTTGAGCATAGACTCTGGCTCTGGAGATGCGATGTTGGTGGTGGTGTTGGTCTTGAGAAGTGGGGCTGTCAGGTCTGTGATGAAGCTCTTGAGTTGTGCGTTGAAGATGATGGAAATGAAAACAGCGAAAATCGCAGTGAGTGTCGCGAGACGAGGCATATATACTTGTGTTTCTGTTTGGATCTTCGCGAGATGGAGAAGCTAGCGAGATCGAGAATCAACTTGAAAATTGGTTTGGAATACTTGTTCAGCATTTGCAAATCTCATCTGCCGCTTATATCTGTTGCCAATACCGGCGGAGGCTACTGTAGGGGTCTTACACATGCTCCCCGCGAAGCTGTCTAAGCACTTACCTAAGGGGGGCATCGCATGGGGCAGCGGGGTGGTTGGCTGCAGGTGGTGATTCGATGGAAATTTTCGCAGTTGGACCGCTGAGAATTGGATTATTCATGCTGACAGCTTCCAGAAGCCCACCCCGCCGGTTCGGCCCCGTACTAAAGCGGGGCATCCGATCCACGGCGGCGTGATGCAATACCTACCTAGGTACTGAGACGAGCTGCACCAAGTATTATGAAGACACGACTGAACGAAATCACGACAATTTCGGAAAGATGGGCAAATAAGATACGGAGAAGGCCCTCTCTTTCCTTCATTTTCATTCTCATTGCTTTTCTATGATTCTCTAACCTGATATCATCGGTTACTATGGACTTCTACTTGAATTTGATCATTTTTTGGAGCGGAGGCGATCAACGATCGGGGGTATTATTTTATACATGCCCAGAATTACAAAAGCTCTCGTCTTGGAACACCACCTGTCCTCAGGAGGTATATAGGATGGGCACCTGTACACCTCTTCAAACCTATGCCACACTGGTTCCAGCTTCGGCTTCTCCATATCAGGCAACGTACTCAACTTCATCCGGTCGCTTTCCACGATGCTTGTTTCTAGATTCCGCAGCATCTCGCCACGGTTTGGCATTGACAAGACGTAATTGTCCATCAGGCTCACGATCATCCCAAATTCTCCGCCATATTCTGTTGAATGGTTATGTCGCTTGTGATATTCTTTGGCGATCAGTCGTGGTGTTAGACCATTGTCACATTCGAGACAAAGATCTACTCCTTCTATATCGAGTATGATCTCCACTATGTCCACTCGACACCGTCGCACTGCAACTGAAAGCGCTGTCGCGCCATCCTTGCTCGACCTTAAGTTGACGTTGGCCTTTTTGGCGAGTAAAACTCTCATGATCTCAAGCTGGCCATCGTCTGCAGCTTTTCGAAGGAGAGTAGAGCGATAGACACGGTTGCGTCGTGACCTCCAGTTGAATTCGAAGTTAACATTCAGCTTCCCAGCATCGAGTAAATACTCAAAGACACTCGCTGACCCGTTCTCGATTGCCGCAACGATGGGACCATCCTTCAATATATCTGTTGTCGTCAATCCGAGGCCGATCTTCCACTTTTCATAGAGAAGCTTGACGACTGACAACTTGTCGCGACTTGCTGCGTACGACATAGATTCTCCAACGTTGGCGCCAAATTTGCCTGAGCTCAAGAGCAAGTCTACAATAGCAGGATGCCCCTCACGAATGGCATGATTGAGTGATCTCCTTTTCGAATCCGCACTGACTTTCCCGGTGTCTAGAAGCAGGCTAGCAATGGCATGATTTCCGTTCTTTGCTGCGATTTCAAGAGGGGGGTCGGGACAATTCCAAGGCCGTTCTTGACGTAAACCAGGCAGCTTCTTCCACGCCCGCTCACGGAAGGCTCCGTTGCAATCTGCCTTGCTTGTAAGGAGTAACCTGACTAGGGCATCACCTTCCTGCTCCGCGCCCAATGACAAGGCCCATGCCCCGTCGTCCCGGTCAAACTTAGTTCTACCAGTATTTAGAAGCGCCTTGACGATGGTCGCTCCTTCGTCATACGTCGCGACTTTTAAAGCCGGGCCAATCCTGATTGGCTCATATTGGTTCAGAAAGTTCGATGTGTTTCTTGTCTCAAGAATTGTCTTGACGACAGTGCTGTGGCCGTTCTTCGAAGCGATTTCCAAAGACTGATTGTTGTGGATACGTTTGAAATGATTGAGAAAATTGGATTTGTTTCTCACTTCCAGAAACATCTTGACAATATCATCGTGGCCCTGCTCCGATGCGGCAAACAAAGCCGGAGCAATAATGAACCGTTCATCATGACGGGTTAGTTTTGACTTTTCTCTCGTCTCGAGCAGCATTCTGGTGATGTCTTCATGCCCCGCTAAGGCAGCCCAGTATAATGCAGGTGGATGATGAATGCCACATTTGATGCATGCTTTGCAATTTCCCTGCGCAAGTAATGTTTCCACAACACACTTGATGCCGAAAAATGACGCGACGTTGAGCGCTCCGTGGGAACAAGACAAGTCTTCAATACCAGGTGTACTGTAGAGTGCACTACTCCCCAGAATCGTTCGGAGGCAATTGTACCAGGCGGTGAAACCAGTCCAGGTCGTATCGCAGAGTCGACTCAAGTCTTCCTTTAGCTCTGAGGTTCCTTTCATGTTCGACTGTCGATAGTGGGAGGCCCAATATGCCACCGAGTATTCAAACAATGGAAAGCACTCCGAGAATAATTTTATTCGGTCTTGGCCTGTTTTCATTCGGGAGGGGCAATGATTGCTTGCGCTTGTCAGGTACCGAATGCAAGTACTCGCGATGATCCGATTTGATTCATCCAGGCTGAGGCAGGCCTTCCATTTAAGAGGAGATTCAGAGGCAGAATCCCGAATGAGAAACTCTCTTGCAGTTTGGTGGTATAGATGTACTTCTCCTTGAATGACGTTCACAAAGAAACCGCAAATGTTCCTCATTCGCTGCTTAAACGCATGGGTCTCCATGACTGGGAACGCCTCGTTGGGCGACTTTTGGATGTTGACGGCCATGGCTGCCGCCATTTCCTCCAATTTCAAGGATCTTTCAGCCGCGACAACAATGTGCAGCAATATTTTGGCCGTTCCAACGTCAGTGCTTCGGCACAAGATCTGTTCGTATGTGTCTTCCATAGTGGAAGGAAGGCGGTCGAGAAAGCACTCTAGACTGCTATTAAGCCGATCCCAGTCTTTGAGCATGTCGTACATTGCCTGGACCCAAAGATAAGACCTGTTCGGCCATTTTTGGAGTGCCATGATGACCTTTTTTCGCTCTTCCCGTCTGATGATCGAACTATGGACCAGATCGTTGACCCTCTCACATATCACAATGTTGATCTCTTCTGATAGCCCACCATTCTCAGCTACGTTCTCCCCACGAATCTCGATATGGGATATCTGAGCCTCTCGGATGACTCTTCGAATTTGGTTGTAAGGGCGGCTGAAGACGAGAAATTTCGGGCCTTGTTCGCCATTCTTAACGAGTTCACCGATTGCCCCGGCCATTTTAGACCATCCCGCAGACTCACATTCGTCCAATGCATCCAGGACGAAGATCGTGCTGCTAATGTTATGGCCATGAATAGCCTCGGTGAAAACTTTCCAGAGATCACTGAAGCCCCCGATTCTTTTCGGCCCAAGTTCCTCCAAACTTTCCACAACCTGGTCTGTGAACAAGTTTGGAAGTGACTTCCAAGAATTGGTGAAGACATGCCAAGGCACTTTATGCATTGTCTTGGTCACCGTATCCATCTTTGAAAAAGAAGTAAATAACTTTGTGGGGTTTCAACTCGTGATCGATCAAACGTCTTGCAAGAACAGACTTCCCACAGCCAGGATCTGCAGAAACCCAAAGGAACTTAGTCTCCAGGCCAGCCATCCACCTTCGAAAGGTTTGATATTCGGTAAACCAGAGGCATGTATTGTCCACGGCTTTTGGATTCCTATTCTTATGATCTTCGTTAGACGCGCAGTTGAGACGACGCAAGATATCTCGTCTTCTTTCGGCTGTAACCAAAGATTCGTCAGCACTACTTATCGCGAAAACAAGCACCAGGAGCACGTTTTTTTTGGTCACGACAACGAGATATTCTTTTAGAATACAGCGATAGATGAGATTTAGATTTCTACTGACCTGCTGTTGCCCCAAAATGAGCGTCTCCACCAATGTTGTTGATGTGTCCAGAACCAAAATGGGTCCATGCCTCGTTACGATCACCGACTTGATTCACCATTGGCCCATGTCCTCCGTGAGAGATGCTGACCTTAGATACGTCTTCCAACACTTCATCTGGAACCGATTTCTTGACCTTCTCAACTTTCTCGATGGCTTCCTTTAGGCTCTCAAGCTGCTCTGAGCTTGCCGCTTTTATTGACCGATGGCTCGCCAGAGTGTAAAGATCCTCGAGAATCTTCTTCATGAGGTCTTCGACACGTCCTTTCTTTCCGCAGCTCTTGATCAAAGAAATATACTTGTCCACATGCAAGTTCCACGACGATGTGGGCTGTCCAGGATCAAGAGTCTCCAATATCGTTTTCAGAGCCTCAGCATTTCCCTTGCAAGATTCCACGACTGCGAGGATCGCTTTAACGGTCTCTTCTGAGGCTTCTTGAGATCGAGCTTCGACATCGCGGAGGATCTGTTGAGCGAGCGGCACTCTAAGCGCGACTTCAGCAAATGCTTCAGGCAAACCCTTTATCGCCTTGAGCTTCTGATAGGCTGCTTCTGCCGCTGTCAATATTCCTATGACGCCGCTTACAAGTCCAATGACTTCGGCCATTGTCGTTCTTATGTGAGAGTGGGTTGGAAATTGTTAAGAGGTAAAGCTGTGCGGTGATGCGATGTAAACTCTTCAAGACATAAACTGATAACCGCAGCTGAAAGTAAATTGGCTCCTTCGTTTAGCAAGACATGCAAATAATTGAATGATTGACACTCGCGACTGATGTCTTGAACGAATAAAGACGGAGGTGCGGGTGTCGGGGACGAAGTCTGGCGAGGAAGAATAGGTGAGGGTAGACAAAATCGGACTGACAGGCTGTCTTATAACCAGCTCTGTCCGGTTCAGCTGAGATCAGTCTCTCAAATCGCCTGAATGCTGATTGGTATAAGCAAGACGCCACATATCACGCCAAGTCTTCTAACCCGATGAAGACGCTGCAGTGGCTGCGTGGCTGTTCAATTCAATGGGCTGTATGGTCCGGATACAGAAACAGTGAGACTTTCTTCAGAATGGTACTTTCCCCTATCACCTCGAAATGAAGGCCCCAAAGGACCGGTGTCAGCCAGTTCGCTTAGTAGAAAGCGCCTCCAGCTGCTAAATGGACGAAGGCATCTATCTGAATCCGGTCCTTGACACCCCCTGATTAGTTTATTGCTAGGTATCTCTCCAAAGCTAGCCCGGCCTATTCAATTCGATTTCGATTTCGATCTTCGCTCTATCCAGGTGGAAACAACAGTGGCATCGCAAAGCCCCCACTTCCAAGGAAACGCTAAAGTAGAAACCAACATACCCAAATTACACCAGACCAGTGCACTCTGGCTCAGAATTCGAGTCTTCGAATGCTTCTCCAGGCTGGCTGATGAGTGAGGCGGTGTCATCTGGAAAGGCTTGTGGTCGTGAGTTCCAGGGTTCACCAATGACTAAATCATTTGTTTCTTCGTTTCTGAGGTTGTGCTATTGGTCGACCTTCCCCACAGGCATTGGGTAAGGCAGATCTGTTCGGTTTAATTCATTGAAAGTCTAGGTAGTCGAGTTGCATACAAATACCTGATGAGTGAAAACAGGGCGCCTTATTAAGTGTGGAGCTTTAAGGGTGATTACGAAATATGAGATTTATCCCACTCTGGAATCAAGATGCCTGTGTTGTAGGCTTCTCAAAGGTTTGTGAGAAACACTGATCATAGAATAACCTTTTGGGAGTCACGATTGATAAGGAAAACACTGACAGATCGAGCTCTTCTTGGCCTCGGCGGACATTAATCTGCATCAATGGCGGAGTTGTCTAGAAGATCGCTGAAGTCATCTTGAATGTCTTCTATCCGTGACCTAGTATCATCGTGTACGATGTGCGCTGCGTGAAATACAAGCAGGCCCAGCAAGATATCAGACACGAAAGAAGACCGGGAAATCTTAGGGGACGCTTCGTTACCAGATCTAACAATAAATGAGTCATTTAGTCTCATTCTCCTATGTTTGACCGGTTGATCCAGAGCGACGACATAGCTGACGTATACTCCATTCACCCCGTACCGCCGAAACGTGCTGTCTCTCGAAAGCTTTCTAAGGTAAGATACGCCAAAATCCCTCGATTCAAATCTTTCTAAGTGAAAGAATGATCGGCGCCGTGGTTCATGTCAGGCTCCGCCTCCGACTCTTTGAGAAGCTAGGGGTATTGTCCAGGAGAGCAGGCCTCATGAGTAAGTATCTATTCCCCTGCAACTTGGGACGATCTTCCGAACCAAGACACTGGGATCTGAGACGTCAAATACAGTCATTTGCGACGTTATTGCTCATGGAATCAAATAAAATCCCGGGTGGAACCTAGTCGTTGTCCACGTAGCAATTGAGGTTCACTCAGGAACCGCAGACACCTCTAACGAGGGACCAACGTCGATGTCATTTGATTCACGGAACTGACCCTGCGTTGAAAACTTAACAGAAATAACTTCACTGGCGGCTTGATAGCCACATGGCCTGGGGAAACTGAGATACCCCTGAAAATGTAGTGTTCGAATGCTCAAATGCACAAGTACCGCCAGACTAAACAGCTAAGGCCCTCAATGACCCAGTTCAGAGTGTTCCCAAGATTGTGATTATGACTTCAAGTATCACATTGTCCCGCAATATTCGTGCTTGATGGTCTCGGATACTGCTTTCTGTTGAGATCTTAAGCACACAACATTAAACCATCTTTGGAACCACACAATTAACCTAAGAACTCGAGGCACGGCTCAAGCACTTCAGCACAATTTCATTCGGTATACTGGGATGAGAGGTTTTTTTTAGTAGATGCCACGCTCCTAAGTGCACGTAGAGCAACAGGGTAAAGCGCAGGTGAATTCGGGTACACAACAGCCTCACTCGAGGAGATGAGGGGTTTGAACGCCAAACTCCCCACTAAGAACATCTCTGCTAAACTCGCGGGCCATTTCATAGAGCCGTTTTAATATTCAAAGACGAGCCGTTTGACTTCGAAGTGTTTCCGAAAGCCTTGATCGTTGTAAACCACAACCGCATACCAATCTGACGCAGCCGGTCATACAGCAATCCACGACGATCTCCGAGACAAACCCAAGTCTTGGCCTTCAGGAACCACAACACAGAAACTACAAGCCCTCAATCCCGCCGTAACGGAACCTCCCCCTCAAAACCGTTTCCGCCCACCTGTCAACCCCACGACGGTCCCCAACAGTTGGTCTCATCATCCCCATCCCCATCCCACTCCCCTCCCCGGCCCGTCGTCCCTATTCAACCCTCCGCTCACCCCGCCCAGCCTCTCCAAGCCATCACTACAAACCTTAAGACGACCCCAATGCAGGCCGCAAACAAGCTCGCAGGACCCTCAAGGGCGGGAGGAAGGTACATCCCACAAGTCAGGCAGATCATCACTCTCTTCGGTCTCTGCCCCCTGAACCGAACGAAGCCCGGACCTCCCTCGTTGGACAGGTATTCACAAAGTATCTCGGGGCCAAGGCGCCGGTTCAAACGCATGATCATAATCAATATCTTGGGCATGGGCTAGTCGAATGGTACAGAGGGGGTGTGTAGGACTTCACCTCCCAAACAAGCAACGAGATACCGAGACCGAACATACGACACAAGACTGCCTTACAAGAAACACCATATCGCAAACTGTACAACAGGCTAAACTAAACATGCGCAAAATCAGAAGGCAGGTTACCGATGGGATGCATACCTCTCGTCATCGGCGCAGTTACTCGACTTGTTCAAACCCGAGAGTCTGTTTCCCATCCCCCGCGGCCCCTGTATCAGCAAAAGAGAAAAGATCAACGCCTCATGCATGTTCGTGGGGTGTGTAGGGATCACGGTTCCATTCCCTCGGGTTAGCCCTCTCGCTCGCTCTCTGCCTTTCCTCGTCAAAAGACAGTTCGAGAACGCCAGCTTGACTCGGTCACCCGACGGGGCGGACCTTACCAGGCACAGAGACGGACGGGAAAGGGGAAGTCTCCCCCTTTCCGCGTCGGCTGCCCCGTGCTTTTCCTGCCTATCCTCCGCGGCAAGACGGGGTTGACCCTCATATGCATCAAACGGCGGACTTGTGTTGAGTGATCTTCGACCTTCACGCGGATTAATCATGCCAACACGCCCGCCGCCGCCCCGAGCCTCCTCCACCTCCCCCCGAGGCCCCTATTTCGCATTCACGGTTGTACGCGATGACGAGGCCGCCTCAGAAAGTATGAGGAAAACCAAAGACACGAGTCCAGTACTATTCAGGCAGCTCACAAGCAAACACTCTTCGCTAATGCCAGCTGAAAGTCTGCCTTGGCTCGGGACTTGTACGATGCAGTAGCCTTTACCCGATTACTATCGCAACAACGTTCGGAGGAACCACGGTCGCCGTTGATGAGTTATCCTTCTCCCTCCGGCGTTGACCCCTGAATGCTACCCGCCCTGACACCTCTCAAGGTCCGAGACCGAACGGCCGCGGAGCGGAGAAAAAGATGAGCAGAAAGCCCGCACCCCGGACCCCGGCCGCGCGGTTCGGGGATGAGGGGGGAAGGGGAGGGCAGACTGACGAAAGGCAAGTAACGTTAATCATACAGATTGCCAATGTCTGTAAGGGGATGCCCTAGACCGCGCGCCCCCCACGAAACCCAAAAGGCCCATACTGCGGCGACCTACCGGTACGAATAGAGTAGCAAGACGAACGCTGTCGAACCTGACGCTTGGGTCAGGTGGCATCCCGGTAATACGTCGTATGCCCATCGGTGCCGATTAACCTTAATTCTCTGCAGGCGCGCGACAACCCCGTCCATGGAGACGGCGACGCGCCGGCCACCACCCACCACCAACATTGCAACGGGGACGGGGCAAGGGACCAGGGTCCTGGTCTTTGGGGTTTATTTTCTCCCATTTCGGGCCTCGTTTGGGTTGACGAGAAAAGATGAACCCCGAGTCGCGCGCGCGCGCAAGCAAGATGACGATGGGCAGAACAGAGTTTTGAGAGTGCGTGTGTCTGTTTAGCCCTCCTCGGCCCCTCCCCTTCCCACCAACGATCGTCCTCCACCTTTCCGTTACGGATAGCAGATCTCAACGCCCTTAATCTGAGGGTAAGATGAGGGACAGCGGCGGCAAACTGCGTCACCTTCGTCCGAAGATTTCGGCCGTCCGTGGAGGAGGTCGCCGTTGATGACAAAACGCAGTGGCCCAGGGGCTGGACCGACCCGCACGAGTCAATAAGCTTCGGAGATCTGATTATTGATTAGACCGTATGCCTGCGGCCGAGTAATTGCTGCCCTCCACCTCGGGTTTCTTGTGCCTGTTTTGATCAGGTAAACGGCGAGGGTTCTCCCACCGGCTGATGATCTTTCCGAAGTGTCGGGTCAACATCTGCCGCAGGAGATCTAGTGAGAAATCATGAAGCTTGAAAAATTGGCGGACTTGTACAATCCCGACCGGAGAGGGGTCCGAGGTTCGGGGACCTGCTCAAGATGTCTCCATATGGTATAGAGCCTACAACGTGGATTTAGCATCCTAACTCCCCACCATTGCTGACGTTGGATAAAACTAGGATTCTTATTAGATGGGATTAACTT